ATTTTCAGCCTTGTAGCTTTTGTGGATCTCGAGATGAAAACTCGTTACAGACGAACACACACACACGCATACACACATACATACATACATACACACACAGACAACCCCTCAACAATATGCGTTTTTGCATTGCATAGCTGCAAAAAACGCATAAAAACAAGGAAACAGATCACCGGCAACAGCGTGACCGGTATCAAGTGATGCAAATGCGGTTTCAGTACTGTTAACGTAAAACTGCTTCAGACGAACAAAAGTGCTTAAAGCAATAAAGGAGAGACCAATGCTGGTGATGAACTCGGCTTCGCGGCATTTCTCCGAGGCAACAAAATGCTTCGCATAGATCATCGGTGTGAATGCAACATCAGCCGAATATGCACGTACCAGCAATCGGAAGGGTAACCTAAAAGCAGCACAATCAGCTTCGCTACCGATGAAGCCTCCAGAATTAGTTCGAGAAGCAGTTTCACTAGCTGCAGCATAATTTTCAATGTTAACGGGTGGTATAATAGGAGTTTTGCACAATAGCAAGTAGTAACAAAAATGACGGAGGTGAGACTTTGTCAATAATTTAAATAATTTTAACTAATTTCTTAAAAATTCTATCTATATTAACCTACACTCTCCATTTAACTTCCTTACCATTTTTTTGGTCCAACCTCATAATTTTAACAAAATTTCTTAAAATTTTGATTATATTACATCAAAACCGTCGTACTAACAAGGTCCAGCATGACATTGGAGAGAAATGTATACGAATTCATGGAGCGAAACGCTTTTTCCAGCTGCACCTCTACTTTTTGCACATAAAAAGTTTAATTCTCAAATTAGGCCCCTGTTCACATTCTTAACAATTATTTTTGGGAAATATTTCTGCAAAAACCATAACATCCTCTTATTTTTCCCCCTATTTTCAGTTTCTAAAAATGTGAAAAATATTAATGCAGCCACGTCTCTCACGAATAGCACTGTGTCGAGCGTCCGGCATCCCGACTTAGCTTTCCCTGGGCACTTTTTTCAAAATTTTGCATGCCCCGTATAGCTGCTGTCTAGCGTCTTGCGTACATGTAAACTCGTTCAAAAATGATACCACATCCAGTCGTTTAGCTTCAGCCATGCACTCTCAAGGGTTTTTTTTGCATGAAATAAACGAACAAGAATAATATTTAAGCAAAGCGGGAAAATCTGTACATTCTGGCTTTAACATTTGCCAGGGAAATGTAGCAGAAAATAGCCCCCTGCTCCTATCCCTGATTCTTTGGCTTTCCTAATAGTAGGCCAAGCTATTTTACCGCAGATGGCGGAGAAATTCTTCCCAAAACTTCAGTTCTCTAGCTCACATAGTTCCAGAGTTGATTTCCCAGCCAAAATTTCCACATGCCCATACGCAAGAAACGCGCGTACCTAGGAACTAGATTTG